GTGTCATCTACGTAGCGTCTCCACAGTTTCACTGGGTGTGGAAACGACTGGAGTGCACTGGATTCGAACGATTCCATGAACAAGATGGCCACCACAACGCTCACTGGACTCCCCATGGCCGTGCCCCACTTTTGCTTAAAGAACTTTCCGTTAACCCTAAAGTAAGTAGTACCCAAACAGAGCCGTAACAATTTTATGATATCCTCGACCTCCAGTGCTGTTTCCGCTCTTACCTTGCTTTCCTCATCCAAAAACTCTTCTTCGAGTCTCTGGCGTGCTACTTCACATGCTGCCTCTGTCGGTACCGATGTGAACAGCGCTTTGACGTCAAAAGAAACCATGGTCTCATCGTCACTGAGCGTAACATCTCGTAAACTCTCTTTGAAACTCGCCGTGTCCTTGACATGATGTTCAGACTTGCCTACCAGAGGAGATAATATGCTAGCTAAATGTTTGGACAGCTGGTACGTTACACTGCCTATGCTAGACACGATGGGACGTAGCGGAACGCCCTGCTTGTGCACCTTCGGTAGCCCATAAAGCAATGGCGGAGTCGGGTCCGACGGGTACAGTTTTAGATACGTTTTTCTGTCCAATTTGCCCTGTTGTTCTAAGTCCTTTAGCGCCCCCCTTACCTCTCGTGTGTACCTACCGGTTGGGTCCCTATCCAGTTCAGTGTACGTGTCGTGATCCCCTATTAGTGTTTCTAACCTACTTTGATACTGCTCACAGGTCATCACACATACAGATCTACCCTTATCTGCAGGTAAAATCATAATATCTTGCCTATCTTGTAGGTCACGTAACGCTTTCCACTCCCCCTTACTGAGATTTTTGCTTTGCGGGGGACGGAAGGAATCGAGAGCTTTGGTGACCTCGAATCTAAGCCTATTCGCTACATCCGGTGTTACATCGTCTGAACGGCACACACTTTCGACCGCCGAAACAAAATCCGCGACCGGAACGCTTGTCGGCGTCGGTACAAAATTGAGCCCTTTACGTAGCACACTGACCTCATCGTCACTTAGGCTTACCCCAGACAGATTGACCACCCACTTATCTCCATTGTCCTCCCCCTGTCCACCAGTCTCCTCCTGCTCACCGGTCTCCTGTCTGTCCTCCTGCTTACCAGTCTCCTGGCCACCGGTCTCCTGCTCACTGGTCGTGAGCAGGATACATACCTCGTGGTGGTATGTATTTTGGTAGGTGTTTGACACGTTTGAGACGTATTGTCTTGTATCTTAATGCATTTTAAAGCACGGCTGACGAAGGGAGCAGAAGCTTCCGAAAGCTACCGAATCAATATACGCATTACTGGTGTCGAAGAATTGGTTCCTAAATAAACAACTCTACATTGCTGTACAGCTAATACGCTTTTCACCTGGTGACCAGTAGAGGAACTAACAGTTACTACAACTGACCGTCAGAAGCACCCAACACACACCGTGCCGCTCCCAGTAACATACCAGGATGTACACCCCAGTCGGGCAGCGCTCCGGCGTCCGGTAGTCGCAGCTGGTCCAGCAGTGACAGCTGCCGGCCGGCGCTGCCCTCCGGCGCCGTCCGACAGGCGTTCACGGTCACCACCCTGACGGACAGACGTTACACGGTCAGCAAAGAGCCGACACTCGGTCAGCGGACAGTGGCGTTGGGTCACCGGATGGCAGAGCATCGCCGCAGCACACAGACCAGACAGGACTGTGCCGACTACGCAACCCCGTTGGAGTATCATGACCCTAATAAATGCACCGATAATGCTCTGGTCTATCTCCATTATTTATAATAATAAAAAAATGAAAGAACAACTGAGATGAGGGAAAGGAGTGAGGCGTCTGTTAGGGTCCCCGTGCAATACGCCCGGTGCGGTGACTGACCTCTGCGCCGCTAGCTGGAGAGCTGGTTCACCCGGCTGACGACCTTCTGTACCTCCTCGGCGGAGAGCGGGTGGCCGTTGGTGGTCCACCGCAGCCCGTCCCGGTAGCCGGCCGCCCCATCCGGCGACACGCCCTGGGGAGTCATAGCATAACACTCAGGCAGGTTCAGGTTTCAGTCCGACACACAGAACCGTCCGGCGACACGCCCTGGGGGCGACACATGGGCGCGCTCAGGGCTCAGGTACAGGTCTCGCGAGATTAAGCGGTAGGTTTTGCACTTTTACATTTCCGGTTATATCTCAGAAACTAATCGATCTACGATGAAGCCATTTTACACGATCATGGCCGGCTTGTTACCCAACAAGTCGATCGCATCTTCAACACTTAAAAGCTTAAGACGACGAAGATATAACCTAAAGTACACTAAATTTTCTAGGTGCAAAACCTACCGCTAAAACCCGCGAGCCCTGTACCATGCACAAGGGCGCCTGGTGCAGTGTCTGTGTGTCCCTGACTGACCTGCAGCGGTGACGCTGTCACAGAAAGCACCTGTTCATTGCCCAATGGATCCAGCCCAGTTCCGGCCGGCCGAGTGCCCGCACGTACGCAGCCAGTGTTACGGTCTGTGTTCGATCTATGTTACGGTCTGTGTTCAATCTATTTTACGCCCTGTGTAACGACCTGCGTTACGGCTTGTGTTACGGTCTGTGTTACATACCCTGTTCTGGGCGGTCTCCACCTTGACCCTCTTAGCGTCCCAGAGTCGGTATTGGTAGACGTGCGCGTTCTCTGCCGAGACGTCCCGCAGGTGAACGAGCAGGTTCTGTAGGCCGACCAGCGTCTCAGCTGGCACCTGAGAAGGTCAGGAGAGGGTAGGGGAGGTCAGTGGTGTACTGGTGTCTGACATAGACCAGCGGACAGGGGGAGGGGAGAGGGAGAGGAGTCTGGTGGCGCAGAAGGACCGTTCCGCGCTTGAAAGTGGACATATCTGAGGACCGTTCCGCGCGCGCTGACACTGCCTCTAGAACCGTTCTGCGAGCAGTCAGACATGCAGACCGGATTGATGCTTTGAAACTTTGACATAATAAACTTTAATTAAATCGACACAGGTACTCTAACCGCATGTGTTTTTTATATCGCGGACAAAAAAGTGGAGATTGTTAGGGTTAAGCAGGGAGTCACCGATGTTAGATCCCTCTCTGGGTCCTTTCATAGGTCACGGTCCTGACCCGAGATAGCTGAGCTGTGTCGCAGCCCTGACCTCAGACAGCTGAGCTGTGCACGCCGTCGGCTCGGCCGTCGGTCGCCACAGCCGCTGACGCCAGTGTCCAAACAGCTCCAAACAATATCCGGCCCTGTATAGCAGGATAAGCCATCAGAGGCGGGAGTGATCAATGGAGGGACGCGAAACACTAACGCCAAGGGGATGACAACTGCTGAGGAATAAAGAAACTACATGAGATGATGTTTTTCGTACTCCAGCGTAGTACGAAAAACATCATCTCACGCTCTTGTGAGAGTTGTGTCCAGTGCCACTAGGTGGCTCTTCGATCGGTATAGGGTTCGGGCGCTCGGGCAATACAGTTATCTCTGAGTGACCGAGGCGTGTGTGTCTCTGCGTGCGCGGGAGCCGAGTCGGACTCGCACATGGCGCAGCCTGCAGGGTCCAACCCCGATGGGGTCTCCGGTGTTTCGGGCGCTGTGGCGCTACCAGGACAGTGGCTCGGCAAGCTGACTCAGCCGGATAAGTTGGACTTAGCAGTGGATCGAGGAGCTACATTCAGAGCATGGAAGACTCGGTGGACGGATTTTTGCACGCTATCTGGTCTGCCGTCCCAGCCAGTTGCGGTGCAGATGGCAATGTTGCGTTCATGTCTATCGGATGACACCATTCGTATAGTCGAGAACATGGGACTATCGCAGGCTGAAAGTTCAAACTTGGATGTCATACTCGAGCGCCTGGAACGGCATGCTATTGGACAGGTGAGCCAAGTGATGCAAAGACGGACGTTTAATTTGCGCGCTCAACATGCTGGCGAGACCTTTGATGATTTCGTAACATGTCTCAGGGATCTAAGCAAAGACTGTGGCTTCTGCGATGGTTGCAGAGACAGCTTGATCCGTGACAGAATCGTGGTCGGCATTAGAGATACCGATGTGATCAGACGTCTGTGTGCGGTACCCGGCCTTACGCTCGATCAGGCAATCACCATTTGCCGATCTGAAGAATGCGCGACACGCGATGCTTATACCATCACCGATGGCGCAACCGGCCCAGACGTTTCGGCTGCTGCGCGCGGCCGTGCGGCACCGTTGCCCCCGGGCGGTGCAGCGCGCGGCCGAGGCCGGCGGACGCTATCCTGTGACGTCACAAGTGGAGCGGGGCGCGGTCAAGGTCGACGAGCGGCCTCAAATGACGTCACCTCCAGCCGCCGACCTGGCGCCGCGCCAACCTCGGCTCAGCAGCCCACCAGCCGCGGTGGGTTCAGGCGGCGCGCCGCACCGAACGACTCCTGTCGCCGCTGTGGTTACTACGGATGCCGCGGGGAGGACGCCTGCCCCGCTTTCGACAGTGAGTGTTTTCGTTGCCGTGAGTTCGGCCACTGGGGCCGAGTGTGTACCAGAAGACTCGGGAACAGGTATGCACACGCGAAGACTGTGTCATTTTGTGACGATGGACTCGATGATGGGGATATGAGCGATGAATGCGTCCAAATGAGTGCAGTCACTGTGCATGGTACCAATCACCTGTCTGCCCCCACGGTTGAGGTGTTTGTGCGCGGTACAAGTAACGGCAAAGTGCGCGCTCTTCCTGACACGGGGGCCGACATCAGCCTGGCGGGCCCCGAATTCGCTGAAAGATTTGGACGCGGCTGTATGTCACCACCTACAGTCCATCCCAAGGTGGTCGATGGTCGCGCCACTTGCGCCATCGGACAGATAGGTGTAAACATTAGCCTAGGACCCGCTCAAGTTGTCGAGCAAGTGCACATCATCCCTGGTGTAAGACGATTGATTTTGTCTTGGCACGTCACGAAATATCTCGGGCTTGTTCCAGCGAACTATCCGAGACAGATGAACTCCGCAGAAGCGACGGGAGCTGCTGCTGCGGCGAGCACTACTCGGATGGGTGGCGTGGCGGCCGCCGCCCAGCACAGCGTCGGCCTGCGTGACTCTCAGCCGACGCAGACCGGCGCGCCGCCGGACTCTCGGCGGGCGCAGACCAGCGCGCCGCCGGACTCTCAGCCGACGCAGACCGGCGCGCCGCCGGACTCTCAGCCGACGCAGACCAGCGCGCCGCCGGACTCTCGGCGGGCGCAGACCAGCGCGCCGCCGGACTCTCGGCGGGCGCAGACCAGCGCGCCGCCGGACTCTCGGCGGGCGCGGGACGGCGCACCGCCGGACTCTCGGCGGGCGCAGACCAGCGCGCCGCCGGACTCTATTTGGACGCGGGACGGCGCGCCGTCGGACTCTCGGCGGGCGCGGGACGGCGCGCCGCCGGACTCTCGGCGGGCGCAGATCGGCGCGGCGCCGGACTCTCGGTGGACGCGGGACGGCGCGCCGTCGGACTCTCGGCGGGCGCGGGACGGCGCGCCGCCGGGCTCTCAGTGGACCTACGATGGACTCAGCGCGCCAATGGACGCACCACGGCAGGACAGCGTGTCATCAGACGCCCGGCGGGGGCGGACCAGCGCGCCAGATGCACCACAGCAGCGGACGGGCGCGTCACGAGGCGCCCGACAGTATCCGACCGGTGCGTTACCGGACGCCCGACAGCAGCGGACCGGCACCGGCGCGTCGCTGGACGCAATCAGCAGCGGACTCAGCGCGTCACTGGACGCACTACAGCAGGACGGCGCGTCATCAGACGCTCAGCGGCCAGGTGTTGGCGCGTCGCCGCAACCCATGAAACAGCTGTTGAAGGACTACGAAGATGTTTTCTGCGACGACATCAAGGTGATGCCAGGAGAACGATTCAAAATCAACCTCCGTGAAGGAGCCAGACCATTTGCTGTGCACGCCCCGCGCCGCATTCCGTTCGCTCTGCGGGAACCTTTGAAGCGAGAGTTGGACCGACTTCAGCAGAGTGGCATGATAGTGCCTGTGACGTCACCGACAGAGTACTGTGCGCCGATCGTCATCGCACCTAAGAAGGATGGAGGAATTCGAATGTGTGTCGACTTCACAAAGCTGAACCAGTCGGTCAAGCGGGAGTTGTACCAATCAAACACCCCGGCAGAATGCGTGGCGTCGATAGCTGAATCGGACGCCAAGTGGTTCAGCGTATGTATTGGCCTGGCATGGACAACGACATTGCTAACATCACACGTGGCTGCAGAGCGTGTCAAACCGAATTGCCCTCGCTTCCAAAAGAAACATATCTCAGAAGAGTGCCACCCAGTCGCCCATTCCAGCACCTGTGCGCTGATTTATTTCAGCACGCAGGACGGCACTTCCTGGTGGTGGTTGATCCACTCTCTGGCTGGGTGTTCTGCAGGCCTCTGGGAAAAGAAGCTACATCAAATCGAGTGATCACTGAAATGAGAAGTGTCTTTTGCACTGCTGGAGCCCCTGAGAAGTTGTTCAGTGACGGCGGGCCGCAATTCACCGCCAGGGCATTCCAGTTATTCCTGAGTCGGTGGGGCATAGAACATATCACGTCATCGCCGCACTACCCGCAATCCAATGGTAGAGCAGAAGCGGCGGTGAAGGCTGCGAGTAAGCTGATCAGGCGGTGCTGGACCGCCGATGGAGGCCTGGACGTCGAGAGGTGGACACGCGGTGTGCTGCAGCAGCGGAACACCCCGGGACCGGACGGCAGAAGTCCGGCCCAGATCGTGTTCGGCAGGCCAATCAGGGACACCCTACCAGCGCACCGACGTGCCTTCGATCTCTGCTGGCAGCGGGCGGCTGACGAAGCTGATGCAGCTGGGAGCGACCTCAAGAACAGTGAAGAGCGGCGCTACAATCAACACGCGAGAGACCTGCCGGGACTGCGTGTCGGCAGTCAAGTGGCAGTGCAGAATCACAATACGAAACGCTGGGATCGGTGTGGTGTGATCACCGAGGTGGACCATCAGAGAAGACGCTACTTTATCCGCATGCCCAGCGGGCGGGTGCTCACAAGGAACCGCCGTTTCCTTCGCCAACGCTATGCGTATGCTGAGCCTCCGACAACGGACTCCCCGGCGGCTGCTCTCGAGACGAGACCGACGCGGAACGACACCGCTCCTGGGCAGCAGCTGCGGCGGTCATCCAGAATCAGACGACGACCTGTTCGACTCATCGAAGAGATCTAACCAGCGCTGTCTGGCTGCTTGTGTGCCAGTTGTGATGGGTGTCCGTGGCTGTCAGCCATGATGCACACGTTCGCACGTTTCGCGCTCGTTCGCCGTATGTCACAGATGGAGGGACGATAATGATCTGTTTGTGTTATGGCGTGTCATTCGAATATTTTGAAACTGAAATCTGATGGTGTTGGGAAGACGATGCTGTGATGGGGGAGATGCCATCTGATGTGCTAGACGTTAATGTTAAGTCGTTCTTTTGTGTTTGCACGTGTTGTGTTTAACGTGCATCCAAAGCGTTCTTTATGTTCATTTACGTCCCAACAACATCAGATCTGGTGTGGGGGTGTGAGAGTTGTGTCCAGTGCCACTAGGTGGCTCTTCGATCGGTATAGGGTTCGGGCGCTCGGGCAATACAGTTATCTCTGAGTGACCGAGGCGTGTGTGTCTCTGCGTGCGCGGGAGCCGAGTCGGACTCGCACAGCTCTCAGTCCCAGCGGATAAAAACAACACCTAAGAAAGAAACTACATGCAGGTACACTGGGAACACGTCATGCTGGAGTTGACGTGTTCCCAGCCCGTCCTGTACCATGCAGCCCGTTCCGGTGATCACTCCCGCCTCTGATGGCTTATCCTGCTATACAGGGCCGGATATTGTTTGGAGCTATTTGGACACTGGCGTCAGCGGCTGTGGCGACTGACGGCCGAGCCGACGGCGTGCACAGCTCAGCTGTCTGAGGTCAGGGCTGCGACACAGCTCAGCTATCTCGGGTCAGGACCGTGACCCCCTATGAAAAGACCCAGAGAGGGATCTAACATCGGTGACTCCCTGCTTAACCCTAACAATCCCTACTTTTTTCTCCGCGCTATAAAAAAACACATGCGAGTTATAAAAAAACACATCCCTATCAACCAGTCCCTATCAACCAGTTAATTAATTCGACACAGGTACTCTAACCGCATGTGTTTTTTATATCGCGGACAAAAAAGTGGGGATTGTTAGGGTTAAGCAGGGAGTCACCGATGTTAGATCCCTCTCTGGGTCCTTTCATAGGTCACGGTCCTGACCCGAGATAGCTGAGCTGTGTCGCAGCCCTGACCTCAGACAGCTGAGCTGTGCACGCCGTCGGCTCGGCCGTCAGGCGCCACAGCCGCTGACGCAAGTGTCCAAACAGCTCCAAACAATATCCGGCCCTGTATAGCAGGATAAGCCATCAGAGGCGGGAGTGATCAATTGAGAGACGCGAAACACTAACGCCAAGGGGATGACAACTGCTGAGGAATAAAGAAACTACATGCAGGTACACTGGGAACACGTCATGCTGGAGTTGACATGTTCCCCGCACTGGCACTTATACTGATAGACCAGCCCAGCCTTCTCTTTGATCCCTAATTTGTCCTTGGGTTTGACGAGCCTAGCACTAAGGTTCGCTGCAGGTCTCGTGCTGACCTTCGCGTAGGGTCGGAGGACGCGCGTGACCTGTTCACTCACCCCCTGGATGTAAGGGATGCTTACATAAACCCGTTTGTCCTCCTCCTGTTCCCTGCCTACCCGTTCAGAACCACCACCCTCTCCCATGCGTAGTCGTTCTCTATTTTTTACCCGCCTGTGGATACGGCGCACCATTCGCTTTGGGTAGTGGTTCCTCACCAGTGCCCGTTCTATCTTCCCTGTCTCGCGTTCCTCGTCCTCAGGTGTTGTCGTGAGTCGTGATGCCCGTGTGAAAAGTGTCTGTGGGACTGATGCCTTGTGCTGTGAGCTGTGGTGTGATTCATAGTGAAGGTATTTGTCCGTATGAGTTGCTTTCCTGAACACCTCGGTCTTCATGGTCCCCCCTCCCAGTCTATGTACCTTTACATCCAAAAAAGGTAAGGATCCCTCCTTTTCCTCCTCGAGCGTGAATTCAATCCTCTCGTGCTGAGCGTTGAGGTGGTCGAGTAGTTCACCTACCTGATCTTTCTTTAAGATCACGAACGTGTCATCTACGTAGCGTCTCCACAGTTTCACTGGGTGTGGAAACGACTGGAGTGCACTGGATTCGAACGATTCCATGAACAAGTTGGCCACCACAACGCTCACTGGACCCCCCATGGCCGTGCCCCACTTTTGCTTAAAGAACTTTCCGTTAACCCTAAAGTAAGTAGTACCCAAACAGAGCCGTAACAATTTTATGATATCCTCGACCTCCAGTGCTGTTTCCGCTCTTACCTTGCTTTCCTCATCCAAAAACTCTTCTTCGAGTCTCTGGCGTGCTACTTCACATGCTGCCTCTGTCGGTACCGATGTGAACAGCGCTTTGACGTCAAAAGAAACCATGGTCTCATCGTCACTGAGCGTAACATCTCGTAAACTCTCTTTGAAACTCGCCGTGTCCTTGACATGATGTTCAGACTTGCCTACCAGAGGAGATAATATGCTAGCTAAATGTTTGGACAGCTGGTACGTTACACTGACTATGCTAGACACGATGGGACGTAGCGGAACGCCCTGCTTGTGCACCTTCGGTAGCCCATAAAGCAATGGCGGAGTCGGGTCCGACGGGTACAGTTTTAGATACGTTTTTCTGTCCAATTTGCCCTGTTGTTCTAAGTCCTTTAGCGCCCCCCTTACCTCTCGTGTGTACCTACCGGTTGGGTCCCTATCCAGTTCAGTGTACGTGTCGTGATCCCCTATTAGTGTTTCTAACCTACTTTGATACTGCTCACAGGTCATCACACATACAGATCTACCCTTATCTGCAGGTAAAATCATAATATCTTGCCTATCTTGTAGGTCACGTAACGCTTTCCACTCCCCCTTACTGAGATTTTTGCTTTGCGGGGGACGGAAGGAATTGAGAGCTTTGGTGACCTCGAATCTAAGCCTATTCGCTACATCCGGTGTTACATCGTCTGAACGGCACACACTTTCGACCGCCGAAACAAAATCCGCGACTGGAACGCTTGTCGGCGTCGGTACAAAATTGAGCCCTTTACGTAGCACACTGACCTCATCGTCACTTAGGCTTACCCCAGACAGATTGACCACCCACTTATCTCCATTGTCCTCCCCCTGTCCACCAGTCTCCTCCTGCTCACCGGTCTCCTGTCTGTCCTCCTGCTTACCAGTCTCCTGGCCACCGGTCTCCTGCTCACTGGTCGTGAGCAGGATACATACCTCGTGGTGGTATGTATTTTGGTAGGTGTTTGAGACGTTTGAGACGTATTGTCTTGTATTTTAATGCATTTTAAAGCACGGCTGACGAAGGGAGCAGAAGCTTCCGAAAGCTACCGAATCAATATACGCATTACTGGTGTCGAAGAATTGGTTCCTAAATAAACAACTCTACATTGCTGTACAGCTAATACGCTTTTCACCTGGTGGCCAGTAGAGGAACTAACAGTTACTACAACTGACCGTCAGAAGCACCCAACACACACCGTGCCGCTCCCAGTAACATACCAGGATGTACACCCCAGTCGGGCAGCGCTCCGGCGTCCGGTAGTCGCAGCTGGTCCAGCAGTGACAGCAGCCGGCCGGCGCTGCCCTCCGGCGCCGTCCGACAGGCGTTCACGGCCACCACCCTGACGGACAGACGTTACACGGTCAGCAAAGAGCCGACACTCGGTCAGCGGACAGTGGCGTTGGGTCACCGGATGGCAGAGCATCGCCGCAGCACACAGACCAGACAGGACTGTGCCGACAACGCAACCCCGTTGGAGTAACATGACCCTAATAAATGCACCGATAATGCTCTGGTCTATCTCCATTATTTATAATAATAAAAAAATGAAAGAACAACTGAGATGAGGGAAAGGAGTGAGGCGTCTGTTAGGGTCCCCGTGCAATACGCCCGGTGCGGTGACTGACCTCTGCGCCGCTAGCTGGAGAGCTGGTTCACCCGGCTGACGACCTTCTGTACCTCCTCGGCGGAGAGCGGGTGGCCGTTGGTGGTCCACCGCAGCCCGTCCCGGTAGCCGGCCGCCCCATCCGGCGACACGCCCTGGGGAGTCATAGCATAACACTCAGGCAGGTTCAGGTTTCAGTCCGACACACAGAACCGTCCGGCGACACGCCCTGGGGGCGACACATGGGCGCGCTCAGGGCTCAGGTACAGGTCTCGCGAGATTAAGCGGTAGGTTTTGCACTTTTACATTTCCGGTTATATCTCAGAAACTAATCGATCTACGATGAAGCCATTTTACACGATCATGGCCGGCTTGTTACCCAACAAGTCGATCGCATCTTCAACACTTAAAAGCTTAAGACGACGAAGATATAACCTAAAGTACACTAAATTTTCTAGGTGCAAATCAATCAATCAATCAATCAATCAATGTATTAAGCATCGACAAGCGACAATGCATGCAGAGAACATCCCACAATACCCACAATCAACAAACAAGTAGTCTCAACAGACGCCTTGAGGCTTGGCAGTTTCCAGCTAACACTAGCCGTATGCTGTCAACAAGGCCATCATCCACGAGCGGTGCCGTCACCATGTCCTCATTCAGCTCTCCTGCAGCAATCCTCATAAGAGCCCCAAAGTCGCCCCCGCACATAGCGAACAGCTGGGCCAGGAATGAGCCATCCAGTTCGTTTGGGAACACAGCCAACTTAGCCAGGCCTGAGATATAGGCAAGATGGAGACGGTGATCCGAGCGGAAAATGCTTGAAAATGCATGGAACGCCTTGCGGCGGAGCACTTCCGCGATCCGAGGAGTACCAGTGGCACGTAGAAGAGCAGTATGGTGCGAGGAACGGGGCAAACCAAGCGCTGCTTTGATCCACGCTGCCTGTCGTGCATCTAGACGGTCAATGTCCGAGGGGCTGAGAGGGGCGGTCTCACATCCGAACACCAGTGCTGGAAGCACGACCGACTTCCAGAGGAAGACCTTGTCGGCGGCAGACAGACGGTTGGTCAGTAGCCCTAATGGAGTGAGGCCATAAAAAGCAGCGCCAGCGCGCCTGACCCGTTGAGCTACGTGGTGCTCCGCGCGGAACTTCTCGTCAAGCACTACACCAAGGTGCTCGGACGTCTGCCGGACTTGCAGTACCTGTCCTGATAGAGTCCACGATGGTGTACTTGCGAGGAGATGACGTCCGAATATGATGCAGTGGCTTTTGGTCCTGTCTGGGTCGTGATGTGTAAAGTCGAGACGCCAACTGGCGGCAAATTCTCCCACTAACTGTAATAAACCATCCAGGTCACGCGCGTTGGTTGACAGTAGCAGGAGGTCGTCAGCGTAGCAGACGGCAGGCACATGCTGTCCGTGCAGATAGGCCCCGCGGCCGCTATCGTCAAGAGCTTCAACTAGAGGGAAGAGGAAGACATTGGCCAGAGTCGGCGATAAAATTGCACCTTGCCTTGTGCCTCTACAAATGTTGAACGGTGCGGACGTGTTACCACCAAAAGTTACTCTGGCAGATAATTGGCGATACCAATTGACAATGGTTTGCCAGCAGTTTGCGCCCAAATAACTCAACAGCCGAAAGAAGAGGCCGTCGTGCCAGATCCTGTCAAAGCACTTGCGAGCGTCTAAATTGGCGGCAAAGACGGGAAGACTTTTACTTCTGCTTTGCTGTATGGTCTCACCGGCCAGTAACGATGCCTGCATGGTACCTCGGTGAGAGATGAACCCGAACTGCAGCTGGTGCGGTGAAAAGGAGGCATGCAGCTCATCCAGTATCGCAAGCTCCAATAGTTTAGAAGCGGTAGTCGTGATTGATATTGGCCGGTAATTATCCATACAGTTGGGGTCTAGCTGTGATTTCTTCAGCAGTGGCACCACGATGCTGTCTGCAAAGGTGGCGGGCACACTGCAGGTTGATAGACAGGCTGAGAGGAGGTGTGCTAAGGCAGCCAGAAGTTCAGGTGACTGTCCAAAGACCAGATGCTCCACCGAAATGCCGTCTATCCCTGGCGCCTTCCCCCGGTGTAACCGTGAGATGAAGCCGGCCACCTGGTCGGCTGTGACTGTTATGGTGCGGGAATCGTCGCGAGCTTCTCTTAAGCGTGACTCTACAAACTCACGTATCCGAATTTGACCAGGAGTCAGTTGGCTGGAGCTGTCTTGGTGAACGGCGAGGAAGTGTTCACGGAACTCGGAGCTGTGACACTCCGAGGCCATCTTCAAACCACCCCGACGAATGCACTGGACGCGCCGCCAAAACGCCGACAAATTCTTGTCGCGTCGCAGCAATCTGAGGGCATTGGCCTCGCTCTCAATCTTAGATACTGCTGCCCGCCTGCGGGCCCGTCGGTACTCGGATCTGGCTGACTGGTAGCACCGGGTCACAACTGACAGCGAGGGTCGGCCGCAGCTATCCCAGAGGTGAAGCCAGAAGCGGGCACGATCCCTCGACTCCGTCACAGCAGATGACCACCACGGCTTAGCAGGACGGCGTAGTTTGGAGCAGCCAGCGTTGCGGGCGGCGGTGTGAAGACACTCTGTGATAGTTGTGTCAATGTCATCTGGGGAGGCACTGGGGTCAACTTGACGAGCACCCAAAAGTTCTTTTAAAGTCGATACATATACTGCTAGCTTCTCCGATGAACTCCAGTCGAGTACTTCTGAGTAGGCTGAAGCAGTGTCCACTGGACGAATGGGAGTTCTAGATGCCGGTCGGGCAGACGGCAGAAGGAAGCTGCATATAATCGGAAGGTGTGGGCTCAGGTTATCCACGCTGGGAGGCACTATATAACACTCGGATAAGTGAGGTAAAG